CAAACAAGCGACGTGTTAGCAGCGTCGGCCGCTCCCCCGCCCCTCCCCGCGCCCCCCGTCGCGCTCCTCCAGGGTGGTGCGCGACGGGGGGCGCGGGGAGGGGCGGGGGAGCGGCCGACCGCTACCACACCTCACTTGCGCCAACAGCGCAACGCCGATGCTGGCTCCCGCCGCCACCGCTCGGTCGGCTCGAGGGCGAACAGACGGAACAGCCCGAAGAACATACAGACGGAACGCAGCCGAGTCTCGTCGCTCAGCTGAGCCTGAGCCTGAGCCAGTCAGCTAGTCAGCTGTGGCAGCGGCAGCAGGGGCAGCAGTGACCTTGACCTGGTGCCTAACTCGTGCCTGGCCGTGACCACGCAATCAAGGCGCGCGACACGAAGTCCGACGCCGTCTCCGAGCAGCTGACGACCATCACAACGACCACCCAGCCGACGCCAGGAAAGGCCGCAAGGTGCGGTTTCATCCCGGCGCAGCAGACGATGCCAGTTCGAAAAACGACCACGCTAATTCGATTGTGGGCTTTGAGTCAGATCAGAGTGACCCGCGGTTTGTCCGGCTACACTCCGCACCGCAACCCACCATGCCGCAACTTCACGCCGACGGACCTGTGTTGATCCGCCGATCCGGACCTCCGCGCCGACACCACGGCGCCGTCAACTGCGTCCTTCGCCGCCGTCCGCCTTCGATGCGATGCTTGCTGCCACCACACCGTGACCTCAAGACTTCACGTGTGCCTAAGAGTCGAGGAGTGAAATGTGTTTGCGTGTTTTTGTCTGGTATCTCGAACTCGTTTGAGCTGACCCAGCACTAAGTGTCCTAATTTGGCAGATGGGTAAATAGAAATGTGAGTGTGTATTCCCGTGCCTTGTGGCTAGCCTCGCGCAGGGCTTGGCCGAGACGGAGAGGGGAGCTTACGCTGGGCAGCGGCGCCAGCGCAGCTTCCTGCCTGCTGTGCTCTGCTCTCGGCTGTCTTCTGTCATCTCTGTCCGACCGCAGCTTGGGTCCAGCAATTTGCGGTGTACACTTTTAATCGCTTCCAGCATTCTGCGGTTTGCACACAATTCAACGTACGTACTTGCTTCTCGTGTAACGATATTTTGCTAGCATGCACGCGCACATGCTGAAGTAGCAAACGCCGTTTTGTTCTTTATGATCCGAAGCGAGGAGTATGTGACATGTGAGGTTATGTTGGGCTTTATTTATATTAAAAGCAATTAGTTGGCTTTGATGTCTAGCGTCATTTATTTATTTGCAAATTTCACGTTAAGAGCAGTGTCTTTGTGCAGAATTTAAGAAAAATCTGTGTCAATGAAATTAAAATCGAAGCTTACAGTGTTGGTCGGTACAATTTTGTTTTCTGTGCACTGTGAAAACATGGTGAAAAGGTCTGGTCTGTAACACCGGACTCGTTTACTCTTTTGTTGATTACAACTTACTTTTCTTTTTTCTTTTCCCAGTTCGGGATATTTTAATTTTAGTTGAGGATATCCAATTAGGGGAGTAGCATATCTGGCTCTGATTGGTTCCATGTTCCGAGTAACGTTATTGTAAATCAGTCGTGTTTAGCCATGTTACACTTTTGATTTAATGTCAATGCTAAAGTTATATGTGACTTTCAATCCAATAGCTCAGATATAAGAAGCTTATACTATCCTATGATTTTGTAGAAAATTTTTCAATCCTTTTGTTCTATACCAATCTATTTCTATTTCATCGAGTCTTCAATCCTATTGTTCTATACCAATTTATTTCTATTTCATCGAGTCTTCGATCCTTTTAATCCTTTTGTTCTATACCAATCTATTTCTATTTCATCGAGTCTTTTTCACACATAAATGGTTTTGAGTGTGTGTGGAGCCAGCATGACTAATTTAAAATAGATTTACCTAAAGTGGGTGGCAATGTCTGACCAGGTATTGGTACCTCCAGTTACTCTTCATACTTGCATATATTGGTTTAAGAAAACTGCACCTCTTCAAACTTCTGTTAATTCTTCCTGTTTTTATTATTTTCTAAATAGTTCATATCACTGCATTTCAGCTGAAGTAAAAGTGATTTATTCTGAAATCAACTCTCATTGTTAAGATTGATCTGATATGAGACAGAAGTGATTGTCTTTCACAAGTTAAGTTCTGTCCATTTCTTGACTGTCATTGTTTTTTAAATGAAAAAAGTTTGTGGCATCGACTCTTGTAAACTGTTTTGTCTACTCATTGTTTCTTTACACTGAGGTGAATTTGACACATCATCTGCAATAGGTCACCACTTTTAATTATTTTGTATTCAAAAATTTGTGCATAAGGTCTTACGCTTACGTTTTTGAAATTACATTTTTACCATACCATTTAAACTTGTATTGTTGCTTTGCTGTCATTTTAATGTTTTTGTTGCCACTATGCAAGGTTTTTGCTGCTATTATTTTCCTTTTTTTTAATTCCGTAAATTTTAACATTAACACTCCCCGATCCCCCCCCCTCTTTTCTTATCTTCACGTGGCAAGTATTTATTTTATTTACTGTTTTCGTTTCAGTGGGGAGCGGAAACATGTTGCGGCGAGCAAGGCTAGGGCAGCGAGATGACGATCCGATGTGCTGTTGCTCGTGTTCATGGGACATCCCGCTCAACCAACCAAGGCAGAGTTCCAGCGCCGTGCCGAGGAGGAAGTGTGTGGCGCCCGCTCGCTCGTCACGCAGCAAGGCTTCGGACTCAGACGCCAAGCCGCCCGATGCGGTAGGTCACGCCATTGCTCACGTCAGACATGCTTCGAGCTTCAATTCCAGCCGCTGTGCGCTTGCCGAGCACACGGCGGCTGCAGACTGATTCCGAAGGATCGTTTCGTCGCTGTCTCTCCCTCACCCCAACGGAACGCCCTTTGAGTGCGAGAGAGACAGGGACTCGGAGACAACAGATTACTGTACACGCGTTGCGTCGTCACCGTTAAATGTCGTCCTCCGCTTCCTCGTCCTGCGCCCGCTGCGCCTTCGCTGCGCGGCTGTCCCTTCTCCGCTTCAGCTTCACCGCGTGCGGGTCCTCCTCGTCCAGGATGCGGATGGTCTTGGATCTCCAGACGCCGCGGTGCCACGCGGCGTCCGGCCACTCCTCGCCGCGGACCAGGACGACCTTGACGTCGCGGTGCACTTGGTCCTTGTAGCGTTTCCGGATGCCGCCGACCGGGCGGGATCTTGGTGGGTGACCCGGCGCGACGAACACGGCGCAGGTGGCCGCGGGGGGAGGGGGCTACTGGAGGCGGAGTCGACGAATCGCGTTGATGATGGAGGGCACCTTCGTGATGGCTCGGACCTCGACGCTGCGCCAGCGCCAGGAGTTTGAGGCTTCATGGAACACGGCGCCGGCGGCCGGCCGTAGCACCTTGTTCTCCAGTACACTGCCAGGCGCGACTCCGGGGACTCCGTCAGGGTGAGCGTCTCGGTGGCGTATGTCGCCGCCGGGCGCACCACTGTCGTCGACATGCGCACCTTGGCCGCCACCGAGACCGTGCGGCGCCGGAACACTCTGGCCAGGGCGAAGTACGCGCGCATGCCTGCCAGCACGCGTTGCCGAACCTCCACGCCGGCGTCGTTGGCTTCGTTGATGGTGGACCCCAGGTACTTGAAGTTGGTCACCCGCCGGAATGCCACGTCGCCGACTTGGATGCTGTCGCCGTGCCGCGGGGGTGCGGGATACCACAGGGCGCCCCGGAAGAGCACTACGCAGACGGCGGCCACGCCCTGCTTGGTGGCCCCCACCACGGCGATGTCGTCGGCGTACGCGAGCAGGGCTGGGCAGCTCTGGGCGTTCCTGGTCCAAGTGTAACTCCCCGACCGCGCCCTCGAGGGCCAGGTTGAAGAGCAGGGGGTGAGGGGGGCCTCCTGCTTGACCCCCCAGGCCACGTCGAAGAACGGCGATAGGGCGCCCCGGAAGAGCACTGCGCAGGACGTGCCCTCCTGGGAGACACGGATTAGGTCCAGCAGGCCCGATTTTGGCCAGCGCCGCATACATGGAGGGGCGGTGCACCGGTGCCTTCACGAAGTCCACAAACAGCATGTGCGTGTCCTTCCCCCCCCCCCTCCCAACGATGTTCTAGGATGAGGCGCAGCAGCAGAATCTGGTCGTTGGTGGGGAGGCCGGCCGGCTGGACGAAGCCACGCGCCCGGCGCTGCAGCGGTGGCGTCAGGGTCAGGCGTTGCCGTGGGTGTCGGGGGAAGGGGGATGGTTGGTACTGGGGAGGGAGGGAGGGGGCCGTCGTCTGCTGAGTCTGTCGGGCAGAGGCGGCGTAAGGCGCCTCCCTCGGGGGCGCTACTGGGGGGCGTGGTGGTGCTGGGGGGTGTTCCTCCTGCGGGGGGCGCGGCACGGCGAGGAGCACGGAGAGGAACTGGCCGCGGCCGGAAGTAGAGTCCCCGCACACCCGGATCGTGCGTCCGGCCGGACCCGCGGACGGCGCGACGAGGCAGGACGGCGCCTCCTTGCGGAACACTCGCACATTGACCTTGTGAAGTTCCGCGCACGCGTGCCCCAGTTCCAGGCCGGCCTGGATCGGTGCGTTGGGGTCGCTCAGAAGCAGAAGATACTGTGACACTTCTTCCGGGCCGGTGAGGTCGTTGAGGCGGGCTGACGCCGTGAGGAACTGGTGAAAGTGATCCTGGTGTCGCTGCAGACAGACCGCCGCGCTGCGCCTCAGGGCTGTCGCCAGCGGGGGCGGGCCCCGGAGGGTGCATTCGGACACCTGATGCGCGAGAGCCTCGAGGAGCCGGTTGCCCCTGCCCTGCGCCCGCGCGCAGTGTAACATCCCTTCCGGGACGATCACTTCCCGTTTGTCTCGGGCCCGCACCCCGGTGATGATGTCGTGTTCCATTGGCACTTCGCACTCGCTCTCGCTCGCACTGGCACGGCCGGCGGCCGAGCAGGAGACTCCTGTTTACCGTGAGCATCTATGTTGCAGAAGCTGCGGCTGGCGCTTGATGGCCATCGAGGACGCTGTGATGACTCTGCCGTTGTGACTCCGTGGAGACTTGGCCGTGTGGGGCCGTCGTCGATGCCGGCGACTTTCGTTGCAGCCAGAATGAAGTTTCTATTGGATTGTGATCAAGGGTGAGTAATATAGGTCTACAAATTGAGCTATGATCTCTTATTACGTGAGCTCGTATTACTGTCCCATGAATTTTACTTTGTTGAATCGGGAAAAAGTTCTTCAAGGTGACACTTAAGTAATTCCATATCGAAGAAGCACAAAATATTTCTGGGTGTGAGCTTTCCATTTTTGCGAATACAATTAATAACTTTATTATTTGTTTTTCTCCCATTTTATGGATAGTTCAAGCTTTGTACAAAGCTATGAAGTGTTGGCAAATAACTTTTCATAGAATCCCTCTGTGTTGTAAATGGCTTTATCGCCGTCCCCGTTCCGGCCCCGGTGGCCCTGGCCGGCCTGGCCTGCCTGGTTCTTCCCTGGAGGGAGTGACCGCGGTGCTGTTTCGTGCACTCTGCCTAACCTGGCAACGTCGCCTCGCTGTGGTCTTCCTGCCTTGTTCGCTGCTCAGCTTGTGTGGGAACAATCGGAGGGGGGGGGGGGGAGATAACGAAGTCAAACCGGAAAGGAAATTACCAAAACTGCGGTTTTCTGTGACACCTGCATTTTGTTCCCACAAATATTAATTTTGGTCTCGACACGAGAGCGTTTCGTGTGGCAATTTTTCGCTCGGTTATAAACTACAATTCTGAAGGGTTGGCACTTCTGGGTACATGCTTTCCCGCTCAAATAGTCTCCTTCTCCTTCACCTTCTCCTGCTCGGTGAGAGCATTTTGGCGCTGAGAATTTCGTTTCGCACAGACTCTGTTGGCAAAATGAGACGTTCTTGTCGTGGTAAGAGTATTATATACTAGATCTGTTTGTCTACAGTCTAATCTTTCAGAATCGGAAAGAGATTTATCCTGTCTTGTCTGTAATTTGGGATAATTCAATGGTCTTACAAACCTCCCACCACTCTTGGCCGTCATTAACCGTTTGCTCAAAACTTCTATGCGATTAATAAGTCAATCTTCGCTCTAGATGGTGTGCTTTTCCTTCATTCGATGTTTTTCTCTTCAACAGTTCTTAAAATTTTGCCTGGAATCTTAATGAGCATTATAATGGCTCGGTTGAGGTTAGGTCATGTTACACGCTAGTGCGGCCCCTTTGCAATTTTCCCTCAGGATTTTTTTTTTCAATTTCCTAATGAGTCATTTTTACTGAATGTTCTGTTTTGATGATTGTAAATTTTTACTTATGTTTCTGTACTTGGGGTACCCCTGCTTTCATCCTTCTCATAAAGCACTTTTTCGAAGAACAGGTTTCCACTCTGTTCACAGTGTAGTTTCACCACTTGGCAGGCATCACATATTTGAGTTAACTGATTCAATATATTATAGCTTGACCTTTACTTTTACAGGTAAGCAGCGTTGTGCCTCGTCTGAGGATGAGGCAGGATTCCATGTAAGTACAAGTGAAGGTAACATTCTCTCTCAATTCAACACACATCGCGTTCAATGACGTATTCATTTAAAATTCTTTTAGTTTCACTTTTGATCAATACTGGTTTATTGGTTGTTGTTGAAAACTCTGGCATAACCTTTAAGGTGCTGCTGCAATTAGCAAGTCAGACGACTCATCTCATTTTTACTCAGTTGATTTATTTCGTGGCAGAACGTGCTGTTCATAATAAGTTAACTAGAAATGTTGGTTTCATGTGTACATACAGATGAGCCTCATCAGTGAATGACAAGAGCTGTGTTAACTCTGTTACGTTTATTGAGCCAAGAAAAACTATGATTAGTATAAGGGGCAGGAGTTTCTTGAATTAAAAATGCAAATTTTAGCCAATATTCAACTTGTAGCTCATTAGTTCACTTTTACTAGGTTGTTTGGTATCAATCATAAGGATGTTCCCTCTTCATAATTAGTGTGAAGAGGTGATTTGGTTTGGGGAAATGGGACTTTTTATTGGAAATTTTAAACCTTGTGCGCACGGGTTTAGTTCAACCAATTGGTCTAATCAATTGGGCCTGGTTTTATTTTGTTTAGTTCCACATTTGGAGTCCACATCATGCAGTTATCAAATTTGGAAAGAAAGAATTTGTCAAATACGTCGTTTCAAAATAATCATGTGACAATTTTGTTGAAAGTGTGGTATGAAACAAAGTAAAGACAGGCCCATGTTCTTAGACCCACTCGTTGAACTGAAAAAGGTTTGCTCTCCTCAAGAAACCTTGGAGAGTAGACACAGCTCACAATATTTATTGATGAGGCCTGAAAGTACATAGAAAACCAATATTTTATGTTCGCTCATTTTCGATGGTCTTTCTGCCCAGAAACAAATTAACTGGTACTCTTGTATAAACCAAAATATTGCTGAAAATAAAGATCTTATCTAACAATAGGGTGAAAGTGATTTAATCAAGAGGCAGACTTTTATTAAACTTTATGTTCACAAAATTCTAGCAATATGCATGAATGTGTAAGATTTCTGTTGTATTTGCCACTTACACTAGCCTACTTACAGGCGTTTTCAATGCCAGGGCAGTCCAGTGTGGTCAGCGTCTTGGGTGCTAGTACCTCTCTTTTCAGCAGTCCGGTCTGGTCATAAAATGTCCGCCTTTTCTAAACAAAAAGCACCTAAAACCTTGGAAGGTAAACAGCAGCTTGGGATTTTCCCAAACTAAAGCTGGAGATTAGTGCTTAAATGATCGATGATCATTCATTTGGGATAACATTGAGGAAAAGGAATATGCTGGTTCTGGGTTCTGGTAGCTTGGTTACTATTGCACTTTAGTCTAGTTGATTCCACAATTTTCTGGTCAAATCTTCTTGTATTTTCCTACTTACTATCCAAACAAACACAAGAAAACAAATTTTTAAACAATTACAAAAAAGACAGTCAAACAAAACAGTTTTTACTTCTGCTATCAATAAAGTATTTGCTTATTTCATTTTTATTTTAAATTTGTATGTGTGTTCTTTTCAGGTAGAAGAATTTCCAGAGATGGGAAGAGGGGTTGTGACTGACATTCCTTTTAAAACTGGAGATTTTGTCCTGGAATATAAAGGAGAGCTAATTACTGGTGTTGAAGGTCGAAAACGTGAGGAGAGATATTCCGAAGGGCCATCTTACCTGTACTTCTTCAATTTTGAAGGCAAAGAACTTTGGTAGGTGTTGGTTCTATTTGTTGGTTGGTACATACCATACTATTATTTGTTTATCTATGGGGTCTGTGTTAAAGGGGTATCCAGCCAGAAGGCACAGTTTTTGGTCCTTCAAATTGACCAACAGAATGTTTAACTTTGCTAGGCAATTAATCGTTGTATAATCCTTTCATTTTTCTCTTAGTCTTGACAGTTCCTTTTTGTTCAGCAAGATTTTTTTCATCGTTCTGTTTCTCACTTTGCAGTATTGATAGCAGTGCTGAGACTATTTACCTGGGGAGATTAATCAATCATCAAACTCCGGGCAACTTTTATACAAAACGCCATGTAGTAAATGGGACACCACGATTGTGGTTCCATGCAAGACGAACCATTGAACCAGGGGAACAGCTCTTTTACGATTATAAAGAGGACCGAGTGGAGGTGTTGAAGAAATTACCTTGGCTAGCCCCTACAAGCCAAAAGAAAACTACAAAAAGTACAGGCATTCCTTTCTTCCTAAATTTTGTTTGTTACAAGAAAGCTTGTTGTGAAAGAACACTTTATTATTGTTACAGAAAAGAATGAAGGCACTGCCACTGCTTCAACTGAAGTGAGCCAAGACTCTGCCACTGCTGTTAATGCATTTTGGGATTCCCTGGGATTGGTTCCAGCACGTCCCAATGCTCTTGTTAAGTCAAAACCATCAAAAGTTTCGTCAAAAGCTGAGTGTCGAACTAAACCAAACCCTGCAAAAGCTTCCGTAAAGCAGCTCTCTGGTTCTAAAGGTATTGTCTGAAAAATTATATGATTTGCATAGTAAACGTGTTGAAATATCTTGATCAATGCCTTATTTTTGTCCCAGGTGCATCCAGTGATCAAATAGTGGAAGCAGCAGAGACAACCACTGCTCTGCGACACTTGTCTTCAGCAGATGTATCTGTGTTAGATCTTCAGGAAAGCACTACTCCGCTTGCCATTTCCAAAGGTATGCTAACTCACTGTTTGTGCAATGCCAATCATATAGATATGCTGAATTGATTTAACGGTTTGATTTTGTTTCTTTCTAGTTGCATCAAGTGATTCTGGGCAAGAAAGTATGCCATCTAATGAGTGTTCATTGGCTGCATCAACTTCTCCAGTGAGTGCACCAAACGTGCCAAATCCTTTAGTAGCTTCCCATGAACCTCTTGCTGAAAAGCAGCTCTCCAGTATTGAAGGTATAGTGAATTTTAATTTATGTCCTATAGATATAAACTTATATGATTTGCATAAGAAACATGCCTTGAAATATCGTTATGAATGCTTTATTTTTGTCCCAGGTGCTTCCAGTGGTCAAATAGTGGAAGCAGCAGAGACAACCACTGCACCTCCACACTCGTCTTCTGCAGGTACATCTGTGTTAGATATTCCGGCAAGCACTTATCCACTTGCCAGTATCAAAGGTATGTTTACTCACTATTTGTCTAATGACAATTGCACAGATATACTGTATTAATGTAATGGCTGATTTTGTTTCTTTCTAGTTGCATCAAGTTATTCTGGGCTAGAAAGCATGCCATCTAATGAGTCTTCATTGGCTGCATCAACTTCTCCAGTGAGTGCACCAATTGTGCCAAATCCTTTAGTAGCTTCCCATGAACCTCTTGCTAAAAAGCAGCTCTCCAGTATTGAAGGTATAGTGGATTTTAATTTATGTCCTATAGATATAAACTTATATGATTTGCATAAGAAACATGCCTTGAAATATCGTTATGAATGCTTTATTTTTGTCCCAGGTGCTTTTAGTGGTCAAATAGTGGAAGCAGCAGAGACTACTCCAGTCAGTCCACCAATCGTGTCATATTCTATAATAGCTTCCCATGAACCTCCTTCTGAAAAGCAGCTCTCTAGTACTGAAGGTATAGTGAATTTTAGTTGTATGTCCTATAGAGGAAAAACTATATGATTTGCATAAGAAACATGTCTTGAAATATCTTGATCAATGCTTTATTTTTGTCCCAGGTGCATCCAGTGATCAAATAGTGGAAGCAGCAGAGGCAACCACTGCTCTGCCACACTTGTCTTCAGCAGATGTATCTGTGTTAGATCTTCAGGAAAGCACTACTCCCTTTGCCATTTCCAAAGGTATGCTAACTCACTGTTTGTGCAATGCCAATCATATAGATATGCTGAATTGATTTAACGGTTTGATTTTGTTTCTTTCTAGTTGCATCAAGTGAACTTGTGCTTAAAGTATCTTCAGGTGATGAGATTAAAGCCATGGCTGAATTTTCTGAGGAGATGAAAGCCAATGGTGATTTTTCTGGGGAGATGAAAGCCAACGGTGATTTTTCTGAGGAAATCAAAGCTGATGCTGTACTTCCTGAGGAGGGGAGTAGTGGTCAATCTTCTGATTGTCTTAATTCTTTTCTAAGCAAGTATTCTCGAGGATTTAACAGAAGTTTGCCATCGAAATGTTGCAATATTGAGAACGGAAGAGGAGTAATAGTTCCAAGGTAACCGGTTTGTTTTGATCTGTTTCCTTTTGTGGTTAATTGACTCTTTTTGGAAACTTATATGTGGGCCTTATGTTTCCAGGTGGTTTGATAATGTTTGTTCTGAATCTGCGTTATTGCTCAAAAGATCTGAATGTAAATGTATGTTGTTTTTTTTAAATGATAATTATAAGTTTTGGTGTTGTTACATTGTCTCAATCACAAGCAGTATGTTAATTTGTAATTCATTGAAATATCTTAAAATAATTTTTTTTTGTTCCAGGCCTGTCAAGTGGTATTGTAGTGGAATCAGAAAGAGCTTCTTCCCCTCAACTCACTTTTGCAGCACCTCCAATGAGCACGCCTCAGCTTCCCAGTGTTAAAGGTTTGTTTACATGTCCAATGACATTTATGTGTTGTGTATAGTATTATTGAATTAATTCTATTGCTGAATTTGTTATGTTTCAGTTGCACCTAATGAGTGTGTGATGGAAACTAATTCATCTGATGACACAACTGCTGTGAACACCACCCATTTATTGTCTGCAGCTAATGCTAAAATTGAGTCAAACTCTACAATGCCCTCCTGTCCTCCTGCTGCATTAGTCCAGCTTTCAAATGTTAAAGGTATGTTTAATGACTTTTGAATGCCCAGTAGATAAAGATTATGGGTGCTTTGTATATATATATATACATATATATATATATATCATTATTAGTCTCTTACAAATATTTAACTTAGCACATCAATGCTTTTTGTTCCAGGTGCATCCAGTGATCATGTAGTGGAAGAAGCAGGAACAGCCTCTGCACCTCCACTCTCTTCCTCACCAGGGCTATCTGTGTTAACTAACTATAGACCTAATCGTCAAGGTATTTTTTTTTAAACGATAATTATAAGTTTTGGTGTTGTTATGTTGTCTCAAACACAAGCAGTATTTTAATTTGTAATTCATTGAAATATCTTAAAATAATTTTTTTTTGTTCCAGGCCTGTCAAGTGGTATTGTAGTGGAATCAGAAAGAGCTTCTTCCCCTCAACTCACTTTTGCAGCACCTCCAATGAGCACGCCTCAGCTTCCCAGTGTTAAAGGTTTGTTTACATGTCCAATGACATTTATGTGTTGTGTATAGTATTATTGAATTAATTCTATTGCTGAATTTGTTATGTTTCAGTTGCACCTAATGAGTGTGTGATGGAAACTAATTCATCTGATGACACAACTGCTGTGAACACCACCCATTTATTGTCTGCAGCTAATGCTAAAATTGAGTCAAACTCTACAATGCCCTCCTGTCCTCCTGCTGCATTAGTCCAGCTTTCAAGTGTTAAAGGTATGTTTAATGACTTTTGAATGCCCAGTAGATAAAGATTATGGGTGCTTTGTATATATATATACATATATATATATATCATTATTAGTCTCTTACAAATATTTAACTTAGCACATCAATGCTTTTTGTTCCAGGTGCATCCAGTGATCATGTAGTGGAAGAAGCAGGAACAGCCTCTGCACCTCCACTCTCTTCCTCACCAGGGCTATCTGTGTCAACTAACTATGGACCTAATCGTCAAGGTATTTTTTTTTTTTTAAACGATCTTTGTCTGCAATCCTTGCGATCCTCTTCTGAATAAGGAAAATTGATAATTAACTCACTCAATGTTTCTATATCAAACCATCCAAGTGAAATAAAATGTTGAATATACAATTTCAAATCGTAAGCAATGATGCCTTCCATCAAATCATGTCCAATACAGAATGGCAAACCCTTAGTCACATGGAAACTTTGCAGCTTGTTTAATTCAGAGTCAAATTTTACCCCTTGGCAACTTTTAACTGAGCCATCCGTTCTGATCTTCACTTTCCGAAGGGCTCTGTCATGGGATTCCTTCGTTCGATTTCTGAAAAGTCTTACTTCACCACCTGGCTTATTGTACAGTTTCCTTGTAAGAAGGCAATGACGACAAAAGTAATGAGAACGACTGAAATTCTCAATGAAGCCACCGATACCATGACTTCCAAGATTATCCCCAGCAATGAAGGCGATACCAGCTTTTACAATTCCAACACCAGGTATTTCTGTTCCCTCTTCCATTCTCTTCAATTCTTCTAACACTTTTCCAAATATCTCTTTATGGTTGAAGTCACAGTCTCGGACAAGTGCAACAAGCTGGATGGCATCCTTTTTATAACGAATTTCACATGGTAGGTTACCAAAGGCCATGTAAACTGCAAGAATTTTATGTTTAAGATTTTTGGCTGGGCCAATTGCACATACAAGTTCAAATCCATCTTGGTAGAGTATAATAGGAACTGCATCAGGATTTTCTTGAAAAAAGGGATTTGATTTAAAAGCTTGTCCATCAAAGAAATCTCTAGAACAACCATCTTGTGAGAATGGAGGTTTTTTGATACAAAATTTCCATGACTTATTTTGAAAAGCAGCAATTAATGACTGATCTGGAGGCACAAAGTAAAAGAAACTGCCATTATTGAGAGGAACCTGAATAGGTTCAACAAAACAAAAATTATTCTTGTAGAATAGTTTTCTCATGTAAACACTGCGCAAAAGATGGCAAGATTCCATAACATCGTTACATGAAGATGTAAGAGAAAGAACTTCGGATAAAGTTTCTTCTGGAATTTGTGCACTTTTCATGTTACAAACTAAACTGTCCATGAAGCAACGTTGGAAATCCTGTAACAGGTTCTTCATTTCTGAGTAAACAACTTGGGTAACGACACCAGAAACCATATGCTTGTATTCTAGCTTTTGGAAAAATTGAGCTAAAGCAACAGTTCTATCTTCTCCTGGTGGGTTGAGGGTTTCCTCATGCTCATGCATAAAGTCTTGGTTAACTACATCTAAATCAGAAAACAGATATGCATCCTCCATCAAATCTGGTGGTTCAGCAGGAGTCAAGACTGAGGGTTCATCTTGTGTCAAAGGAACCATTGTTCTGTGCTTCCTTGACATATGTCCAGTTAGGGAGCGATAGGAGTTAAATTGTTTCAAACAACCAGTAGACGGACAAGGCACTGAAGTTGCAGATTTGAAGTGATCCTTGAGATGCATTGAAAAATCTCTATCATGAAAAAATTGTTGGCCACATGATGAAACAAGGCATTTGTACTTGCCGCTTGGATTGCGCACAGAAGATTTCTTGAACAGGGCATGTTGAGTTTGTGCAACATAAACTCTGTGGTTGCGGATAATGTGGAAACGCAAAGCACTTTCAGTGGTAAAGGAGCTTTTGCATCGGCCCAACCCGCAGATGAGGTACTTGGAGATGTGGCGATGGTACTTCAGGTGAAATAGGTGTGCTCTTACACTTTTGGCCTTGTGGGCGCAGTGAGAGCAATGATAGCACTTGTTGTCATCTGAAATAAAAGAAACAAAACAAAATTAGTTGAACATTGTTTTGAAAAAGCAACCAATCTAAATGATGACCATTCATTCACTTACCCATGATGAAATGAAAATGAAACACTTTGGTTTAAAAGCCTCAGCGACTGCAGTCTTAATGGTCACATTCTTAGGAGAGCGACATGATAATTGTTGTTTCCTGTAGGAGGAGAAAATAGAAAAACAGAGCTTAACTTCAAATTCAAAGAAACTGATCCCAAATAATCCTCAATGAACATTTATTTACTTACCCATGTTGGAATAAAATGAAGCACGGTCACAGTTCTTAGGGGTTGCTCGAGGAAAACCAACTTATCATTAGAAGGAGTTAGGAGGCCACAGCCTACACGCCCACTGAGAAAGTGATAACAGTTGTTTACTGGAAGAGGAGAAAAGAACATAAGTTAGTTTCATGTTAACTTAAAAGAAACTAATCCTAAGAAATCCTTACTAAGAAACTAATTGGTAGGATCGTAGCTACGATGAACATTCATTTACTTACCCATGTTGGAATAATATGAAGCACGGTCACAGTTCTTGGAGGTTGCTCGAGGGAAACCGACTTTTCATTGGAAGGAGTTTAGAGGCCACAGCTTCCACGCCCACTGGGACAACTTGTTCTGTCTGTGTCAAAAACAATGTGACTGACTGGACTAGAGAGATAAAAGGGTTAGGTTCTGGACCGGAAATTGGAAACCACTGCCACGGTATGACAAATTCCTACTGCAGTCCAGTTTTTTTTGCGCGCCAGACGAAAAATTTATAATGCGCGGGAAGTCCGAATGGGGGGAAATCCGCACTCTGAGTTTTAAAATCTGGACTTAAAATTCCAAAACGAAGTTTGCGACCAGCCCACCCTGAAAATTCAGACACCGAAGTCCAAAAGGACTTCTTTAGACTGCAGAGACTGAAAATTTGCACCACTGGCCCCAAAATTTCAGACTCTCTATTCTAAAAGCGATTTTTCAGACCACGAGGTGTAAAATTAAGACCAACTGTCTGAAAATTCTGACTAAAGTCTGAATTCCAGATTCAGACCACTAGGTCTGAAAAAAAGAGTCTGAATTTTCAGACTTTTTTTAACAGTGAAAGTCATCGTCGCCAATCGCACTGGGACTATGCGGGATCGCAAGGGCACGCTCTAAACCGGTCCTCTGCTTCAATAGGAACGCGAAATTCGACTTTGACTTTTCGTGTTTTCGGCACTTTACGTAGCACGACGCTAAAGAATCTCCTCAAAGTCACCGTCGCAAACCGCACTGGGACTGTGCGGGATCGCAAGGGCACGCTCTAAATCGGTCCTCTGCTTCGAAAGGAACTGGAAAATCGACTTTGATTTTCCGTGTTTACGGCACTTCACGTAGCACGACGCTAAAGAATCATCTCAAAAGTCATCGTCGCCAATCGCACTAGGACTATGCGGGATCGCAAGGGCACGCTCTAAATCGGTCCTCTGCTTCAATAGGAACGCGAAATTCGACTTTGACTTTTCGTGTTTTCGGCACTTCACGTAGCACGACGCAAAAGAATCTCCTTAAAAGTCATCGTCGCCAATCGCACTGGGACACTGCGGGATAGCAAAGGCACGCTCTAAATCGGTCCTCTGCTTTAACAGGAACACGAAATTCGACTTTGACTTTCCGTGTTTTTGGCACTCCACGTAGCACGACGCTAAAGACTCTCCTCAAAAGTCATCGTCGCCAATCGCACTGGGACTATGCGGGAACGCAAGGGCACGCTCTAAATCGGTCCTCTGCTTCAATAGGAACGCGAAATTCGACTTTGACTTTCCGTGTTTTCGGCACTTTACGTAGCACGACGCTAAAGAATCTCCTCAAAAGTCATCGTCGCCAATCGCACTGGGACTATGCGGGATCGCAAGGGCACGCTCTAAATCGGTCCTCTGCTTCAATAGGAACGCGAAATTCGACTTTGACTTTCCGTGTTTTCGGCACTTCACGTAGCACGACGCTAAAGAATCTCCTCAAAAGTCATCGTCGCCAATCGCACTGGGACTGTGCGTGAACGCAAGGGCACGCTCTAAATCAGTCCTCTGCTTCAATAGGAACGCGAAATTCGACTTTGACTTCCCGTGTTTTCGGCACTTCACGTAGCACGACGCTAGAGAATCTCCTCAAGAGTTATTTTCGCAAATCGCACTGGGACTATGCGGGATCGCAAAAGCACGCTTTAAATCGGTCCTCTGCTTTAACAGAAACGCGAAATTTGACTTTGACTTTTCGTGTTTTCGGCACTTCACGTAGCACGACGCTAAAGAATCTCCTCAAAAGTCATCGTCGCCAATCGCACTGGGACTATGCGGGATCGCAAGGGCACGCTCTAAACCGGTCCTCTGCTTCAATAGGAACGCGAAATTCGACTTTGACTTTTCGTGTTTTCGGCACTTCACGTAGCACGACGCTAAAGAATCTCCTCAAAAGTCATCGTCGCCAATCGCACTGGGACTATGCGGGATCGCAAGGGCACGCTCTAAATCGGTCCTCTGCTTCAATAGGAACGCGAAATTCGACTTTGACTTTTCGTGTTTTCGGCACTTACGTAGCACGACGCTAAAGAATCTCCTCAAAGTCATCCGTCGCCAACCGCACTGGGACTATGCGGGATCGCAAGGGCACGCTCTAAATCGGTCCTCTGCTTCAAAAGGAACGCGAAAATCGACTTTGATTTTCCGTGTTTTCGGCACTTCACGTAGCACGACGCTAAAGAATCTCCTCAAAAGTCATCGTCGCCAATCGCACTGGGACTATGGGGGATCGCAAGGGCACGCTCTAAACGGTCCTCTGCTTCAATAGGAACGCGAAATTCGACTTTGACTTTTCGTGTTTTCGGCATTTTACGTAGCACGACGCTAAAGAATCTCCTCAAAGTCACGTCCCCAAACCGCACTGGGACTTGCGGGATCGCAAGGGCACGCTCTAAATCGGTCCTCTGCTTCAAAGGAACGGAAATCGACTTTGATTTTCGTGTTTCGGCACTTCACGTAGCACGACGCTAAAAAATCTCCTCAAAAGTCATCGTCGCCAATCGCACTGGAACTATGCGGGATCGAAAGGGGCACGCTCTAAATCGGTCCTCTGCTTCAAAAGAAACGCGAAATTCGACTTTGACTGTCCGTGTTTCGACACTTCACGTAGCACGACGCAAAGAATCTCCTCAAAAGTCATCGTCGCCAATCGCACTGGGACTATGCGGGATCGCAAGGGCACGCTCTAAATCGGTCCTCTGCTTCAAAGGAACGGAAATTCGACTTTGACTTTTCGTGTTTTCGGCACTTCACGTAGCACGACGCAAAAGAATCTCCTAAAAGTCATCGTCGCCAATCGCACTGGGACTGCGGGACGCAAGGGCACGCTCTAAATCGGTCCTCTGCTTCAAAGGAACGCGAAATTCGACTTTGACTTTCCGTGTTTTGGCATTTCACGTAGCACGACGCTAAAAAATCTCCTCAAAGTCATCGTCGCCAATCGCACTGGGACTATGCGGGACGCAAGGGCACGCTCTAAATCGGTCCTCTGCTTCAATAGGAACGCGAAATTCGACTTTGACTTTCCGTGTTTTCGGCACTTACGTAGCACGACGCTAAAGAATCTCCTCAAAAGTCATCGTCGCCAATCGCACTGGGACTATGCGGGATCGCAAGGGCACGCTCTAAATCGGTCCTCTGCTTCAATAGGAACGCGAAATTCGACTTTGACTTTCCGTGTTTTCGGCACTTCACGTAGCACGACGCAAAGAATCTCCTCAAAAGTATCGTCGCCAATCGCACTGGGACTATGCGGGACGCAAGGGCACGCTCTAAATCGGTCCTCTGCTTCAATAGGAACGCGAAATTCGACTTTGACTTTCCGTGTTTTCGGCACTTCACGTAGCACGACGCTAAAGAATCTCCTAAAAAGTCATTCGCCAATCGCACTGGGACTATGCGGGATCGAAAGGGGCACGCTCTAAATCGGTCCTCTGCTTTAAAACGCGAAATTCGACTTTGACTTTTCGTGTTTTGGGCACTTCACGTAGCACGACGCTAAAGAATTCCTAAAAAGTCATCGTCGCCAATCGCACTGGGACTATGCGGGATCGCAAGGGCACGCTCTAAACGGTCCTCTGCTTCAATAGGAACGCAAAATTCGACTTTGACTTTTCGTGTTTTCGGCACTTCACGTAGCACGACGCAAAAGAATCTCCTAAAAAGTCATCGTCGCCAATCGCACTGGGACTATGCGGGATCGCAAGGGCACGCTCTAAATCGGTCCTCTGCTTCAATAGGAACGCGAAATTCGACTTTGACTTTCGTGTTTTCGGCACTTCACGTAGCACGACGCTAAAGAATCTCCTCAAAAGTCATCGCCCAATCGCACTGGGACTTGCGGGACGCAAGGGCACGCTCTAAATCGGTCCTCTGCTTCAATAGGAACGCGAAATTCGACTTTGACTTTCGTGTTTTCGGCACTTCACGTAGCACGACGCTAAGAATCTTCAAAAGTCATCGTCGCCAATCGCACTGGGACTATGCGGATCGCAAGGGCACGCTCTAAATCGGTCCCTGCTTCAATAGGAACGCGAAATTCGACTTTGATTTTTCCGTGTTTTGGCACTTCACGTAGCACGACGCTAAAATCTCCTCAAAGTATGTCGCCAATCGCACTGGGACATGCGGGATCGCAAGGGCAGCTCTAAATCGGTCCTCTGCTTCAATAGGAACGCGAAATTCGACTTTGATTTTCGTGTTTTCGGCACTTCACGTAGCACGACGCAAAAGGGATCCCTAAAAAGTCATCGCCCAATCGCACTGGGACTTGCGGGACGCAAGGGCACGCTCTAAATCGGTCCTCTGCTTCAATAGGAACGCGACATTCGATTTTGACTTTTCGTGTTTTCGGCACTTCAAGTAGCACGACGCTAAAGAATCTTTTCAAAAGTCATCGTCGCCAATCGCACTGGGACTATGCTGGATCGCAAGGGCACGTTCTAAATCGGTCCTTTGCTTCAATAGGAACGCGAAATTCAACTTTCACTTTTCGTCTTTTCGGCACTTTACGTAGCACGACGCCAGATAATCTCCTCAAGAGTTATTGTCGCCAATTGCACTGGGACTATGCGGGATCGCAAGGGCAAGCTCTAAATCGGTCCTCTGCTTCAATAGGAACGCGAAATTCGACTTTGACTTTGCGTGTTTTCGGCACTTCACGTAGCACGACGCTAAAGGATCTCGTCAAAAGTCATCGACACCAATCGCACTGGGACTGTGCGGGAACGCAAAGGCACGCTCTTAACAGATGAGGCCAAGGGTGTGGTGGGGAGGCAGGTAGTCCATCACCTTCTCCACTCCTTGCATCACCCCTGGCCTCATCTGTTTATGTTAATTTGTTTATTTCCTTAACTTGATACAACCTCAGCGATTCAATTATATATATCTACTCAAAAGATTGTCAGTCTTGAAGTAAAATAAAAAACAATTAGGTCTAGACTTGCAAGTTTTAGTTCGGAATCAAGTCTTACAAGGAACTGTACTCATTTTGGACATTCAAGCTTATTGTGGGTCTGCAATTTGGAGACACTGCTAATTAACTGTTTATCACTGAAAGTCTCGTCATGTGAATTTTGTGGGAAAATGTGATATGATTGATCTAACTGTTTCTCCTTATTTTTCTAGGAGGCAAGAATGT